CATCCTCCTTAGAGCACTCAAGCCCCACAACCACGTTAAGTTAGTGCATCACTGGGGGCTTATTATTATTACTATTACTATTACTATTACTATTATTATTTAAACTTGTATGCTGCCTGACTCTCAATGACTCTGGGCAGCTCACTTTAAGACCTTTGGTTATAGAAGTTGCCATTTACATGTATTGTTATTGGTTGTCTTATAATTTTCTCTGTGATTTAATTATTGTTTATTATTATGTAAAATCAATTGTACTGTGGATTTATTTATTTATTTTTTTGTTGTTGAAAGTGTAACCTGGCAAGAGCCTCACAAATGAGATGGGCGAAATAAATAAATAACACCCAATTATAGATAGTTGAGAAATTCCATCTCTCTGAAGTTAAAATACCATTTTTACATGAAGAAAATTTAAGGCAGGAATGAGTTTTGTTATATATATGCTAACAGCACCTAGAATACCTTATCTAGTCTTAGAAACTAAGCAGATTCAGTCCCTGATCAGTACTTAGATCAGGGACCACCAAGGCAGTAGGCAAGAATAAGAAGCAAAAAATATTTTGGAAAACAACAATGGTAAACCAATTCCATACTGTTCCTCCCAAAAAACTACATGGTAGACAAATTTAACTCAAGGACATCTTTAAGTTTACTCTAAGCTTATGCTATGTTATCCTTTGTTTCAAGCACCAATAAATCATTTAACAAATAGTAATATATAACCCTACAACTGCTCAATATACAGTGCATAATATTGGACCACTGCTAGTTAGTTCCTTAATATTAATATTCTCATGGTAAAAAGGTTGTCTGCAACTCTCCACAAATATTAAATCATACTGTGGCAAACAAAGATAGCAATTGGCTTGAATATAACTATTTGTCTACCTGGAGCAGTTTCTTAATGTTAGAGCTAGTTTCTTAATGTCAACAGGTAATAATAATATTACCTAGTTTCTTACCTTTTTTTACCTAGGTAATAACAATATTCCCTAATTTCTTAATATTAGTACAGATAGTCCTCGTTTAGTGACCACAATTGGGACCAGCAACTCGGTTGTTAAGTGAAGTAGTCACTAAGTGAAACCACGACTTTGCTTATGATCTTACTTCAGCTTTCCTTTGCTTTACCCGCACAGGTCATAAATTCAAGGATTAGTCATAAAGTTTCTTTTTCATCACCTTTGTAACTTTGAACAGTCGCTAAGTGAGGACTACCTGTATTCTCTTAGTAAAAAAATGGTCTGCAACTCTCCACATATATTAAAGCATACTCAGGCATACAAGGATAGCAACTGACTTGAATATAACTATTTGCCACCTGGAGCAAAAACCACTTTCAGGAATAAGGACACAAAGGGTTTTGTCAATTCAATTTATTTCTATATTACTTCTGTTTTCAAGCAGTAGTTGAATTCTCTTAAATTACTATGTTCTAGATAGATAAACAAAGTTATATAAGCTAGCAATTTTTAAAAATGCATCTATAAGGCTGACGTTATCTCATTTTGAACACCCCTGGTTATACATAAACACACCCTTTTAAGTTACCATATGCTAATATCAGACCTTAAACAAAATACCTACACACATTTTTTGTCCTTTTAAGGCTCAGATGTTTCAAATAATAACTGTAAAAAAGCTATCTGCTGCATAAGCAAACCTAACATTAACGTTCTATACATAACACTATATAAAATAGTTTCTGTACTTTCTTACTCTTTCTGCACACAGAAACCAGTAACAAAATATTAATAGTTTCACAATTTTACAGAAATTAAGGAAAAATTCCATCCCTGACATTTGGGCAATTAGACAGGCTGGCTTCACAATTTGTAGCCAAGAAAGCAATCTGAGAAAATATCTTTGCTTCACAGTGCCACCAGAAGAGAAGAGAATGTGTGCAATACGCCATCTAACACAGAGATGTTTATTGAGTCTTAAGCCTGCCCAACAGAGGGAAGATGGAGAAGAAAAATACCTTGAATTGCAAGACTTCAACCAAAATTATCTGGTCAAAAGACAGGATACTGCAGTAATCACATTGACTTAGATAGTTATCGTGCCTTTGAAAAACCTGATCTTGTGCTTCAGGCGAAGAAATACAATTTTGCAAATACTTACAAGAGGTAGCTTTGCTTTTCCATCCTTCTTGAACATTTCCGCATGCTCATAATCCTCTTTTATATGTGAGGCCAATCTGGAGCCTTCATCAGGAGGGTATTTCTGAAAAACAGCTTAGACAGAATTAATGCAAATATAACCCAAGGACAGCAAACTAAAAATTATATGGGCAGGTAATCATCTCCATAACAAAATGTACTGTTTCATAACACCTGTATCTGCCAATCTATGTTTATATACTTCCTTTCACCCATATGGAACTAAGGGAGGTAGAAGTGGTTTCTACTGAGGCTCTTAACAGAATGAGACCTATTTAGCTTTGGCATGGTACTACACTTTTGTGTCCACAGCCCATATCTCAGATTAACCTTCTGCAATCTGCAATTAATTCTTTAATTAATTAATTAATTAATTAATTCTGCAATTAAATAAATATAATTTTTACCATCCAGATCTGGAGGAGCACACTGCAGCTGTTCTGCGCTGTATTAAACACTGCACAGATACTCTCATTGTGGACAAATGCGTCCGGATCTATCCCAACCAGAAACCCTGGATGACTAAGGGAGTCCAG